TTGGGTCAGAGCTTCTCAGTAAAGATTTGCTAAATGACTGTCAAAACAAAACAAACAGACAAACAAAAAAGGCAAGCTAAATGAGGGTTTTTGCCATTGAGGTGAGAGAGATAGCCTAATTGTTTATTTATTCAGCCATTAAGCTATCTTTTGCCACTTTCTGCTTGGAATATAAACTCAAAGATGACATAGACTTGCTCCTCGAACTTCTCTCTCTAGGGCAGAGCACATAATAGACACTCAGTAAGTATTTCTGAAATAAATGAGTAAAATGAATATTAGAATGAGCCCTTATAATATCTTAGGCTCTGTGAAAGGCATTATAGAGTGTCAAATGGTACCATTCCTGCCTACATAATGCTTCAAGGCAAGCTAGGAAATTGGAAACACAATACAAGATAGCTATAAACAAACTGCAGTGGATGTGCAGAGATAGGAAGGATTACTTCTTCTTATGGCTAGCAAGAGAAGTTGCAAAGAGGAGTTGGTTAGTATGGAAAGAATTTTGACAGATGAAAGCATGAAGTACATTCTTTCCATGTGCATGAACAAAAGCATGGTAGTAGGAAGAAGCATAAAAGTGTAGTCTCCCACCCCCAGGAGAAAATAATCATTCTTTATAGTTCAGATAAAGAAACCAAGAAATATATAGTAATTAATGGGGAAGACTTGGATTTGAATCCAAGCCTTCATATTCCATAGCTGGTGATTCCAGACACTAGATTATACTTAGTGAGTGTTAATTAACTTATTTTGGGCTGACATGTAAAATGTAGATATAGGGGAGAAGAAGAGGAATAAGTGGAAAACTCTGCAGGATTAAAATAATGGCAGAAAAACATCACGTTTTAAACTTTGAATTTAAGTACAAAAAACACTGTACTTAAAGCACAGTAAGGCTTTTTGGATGGAATATATAGGTAAAAGTTATAGAGAATGGTAAAAAAAAGCATTGATTATGAGGAGTTAATTTTACAAAAGTTCTTTCTTGTCCTTTTGTATATGTTTTAAGTTTGACTGTACATGTATATTTACACAGTGTTTTTTAAATAATTTGGGTGAATTGTTTTGAAGAGTTCTTTTAAAGTACTATTCAACTAAAACATGTTCTAATAGCTTCTGACCTCTAAGAATCCTTGTTTTTCAGACCAAATCAATTTGTTAAAAAAATAAAACATGTATATCTCCAAGGAGGAAGAAAGATTATGAATTATGAAAGAAAATATATAGCAAAGAGCCATGTGTTTTCATGAGTGGAAAAGGATATGAAGTAAGGAAATGCCCCAGATGAGTAACAATGTTTATCAACAACTCTGCATGGTATGAATTGGATGGACAC